ATAACTAGAGTTTTGCAGGAGCTTCATCTTTTTTTCTGTGATGTCCGGCACTAGAAACTCATTTACTTCACATTTGAGTTATATTCAAGATCTGAAGAAAATCTTCTGCTTTTCGACATTGTGAAACAAGGAATATGCAGTTCTGAATGTATCTCTCAAGACTCTTTGTATACTCTTCCATATGTTTTTATTACATTTTCTTAATATACTGTCACTTGTCTTAAGTCTCGGTTGTCTGTTTTGTCTCTCTAAAGTGTCTAGTTACAGACAAATTCATACTGTGATTTTTATTTTTATTACAAAATGCTATCAAACTGTGATGCACTTATATTCACTGGTCCTGCATCAGGAGATGAGTGGGGAACCTGTATTAAATACAGTTCGTCTGAATAATCTGTCTGGTTTATACAAGCTGTGTTGTTCAGAGATGTCTAAAGTTTGATCTTTGTTTTTTTAAAGATAAAAAGCACTTGCCCCACTGTAAATATAGAGCATGTAAAATTTATATAGTATATAAATACAGCAAAGCTAAAATGGAGTTTTACGTGAGTTTTACTGGAGTTCTTTAACATGCAGCGTGTCATGTGAATTGACAGCTTGCAGCGTGTGTTTGATGCTCAAGAAATCAGACCTTCCTTTCAGTGGTAGGCGACAAGATGCTGTCGGTGTGACCCAGAGAAGATAAGTTAACTCGGGACTTCAGCTGCCTAGACAAGGCTGCAGAAGGCTTTCTCCTTTGAAGGTAAAAGCTTCCGAAACCAGGCAACAGGTTGGAAGCTCAGCAGTACCTTTATACTGGGTGCGACACTGAAGGAAAAAAAGGAGCAAGGTTAATGTTCCTCTAAATAGGTAAAGTCCTGTTTTGGCACATGGAGAACACCTTGATTCCCAACCGTAAGTGTACCCTGCAAAATGTTCCTATGGCAACAGTTATGTGAAGTTACATAAAGTAACGTGACAAAGAAACCACACACCTTTCCTGTATGCGGCTCTCTTTTCCTCTGGCTCCAAGATTTGGTGTGTTGTGTTTTGTCTGATGAATGACTCCAGCAGAAGTGGATGAAAGGAGTTTCAATGTTGACTGCGATACCTCCATGAAGAGCTCCAGAAGCAACAGCTGCCTGAGGTAGCCAATAAGCAGTGAGTGGAGGGAGGGCAGTTTGTGGCAGCTTCAGGGTAGAGCTCTGGAGAAGCAGGCTGGGCAACTGCAAGTCTAATTCCCTTGCTTGAAGAGCAGAGATCCCATTTCCCCCTGCCCCTTGCCTATATTTGCCTCAAACTCAGGGAAGGGAAGTGACAAAGGACCTCCTTAAGTTAGGGTGGCTCTTGAAGGAAACCAGCTCTTAATGGAATAACACTGAGAGTTGTCTTGCAGTTGCAGGTATTTCTATCTGAAAATGTAAACCTGATAATTTAAATCAGTGTGCCTAAAGGTAGAGAAAAGAGGCCTTTTACTTACAAGAGCAGTTATAACGCGTGCTGTAAAACTGAACCTTAATCTCTTAAAAATCCCCAAACACCCAGCAATTGCCTCCCATGTATTCTCAGTAAATGAGGTGCTGTACAATAGTAGAGTTTCACACTTTATTTTTGTGAAAGTCTCCAGATTTAAGCAACAGGTCTTAATGATAAATGAAAACGTTAATATTGCAGTGGATTTACATAGAACATCACATTTTTAACAATGATTGATACAGAGTATTTGACATGCAAATCACTTGTGTAACACCAAGTAGTACTCATATCAATACATATCTGTACAGTATTTACATTTTATATTTAAACTCTAGCTAGAAACATTTTCCAAGAAAATATAGAAATGAAACTGGTAAGCCACAAGTCCTAATTTGTAGCATTTGGTCTACAACAGACCTAGCTTTTCCAGCAAGCCTATCTACAGAGATATGTAATAAATCTTAAAAATATGCATTGTTTTTGTATACGAAGCATTATAAATGCTGCTCAGTTTACAAAGGTTGTTTTGTACCAGTTCAAAATGTTAAGCGACATAGAGCTTATTTTGTCAGAATATTGTAAAATTTAAGTCAGTCCAGCTGAGCTTAAGTATTCTATACTGGTCTCTCCCTAGATTGCACTGGCAACGTGGCTGATGCGAGTGGCCCAACGGTTTGGACGTTGAGCCAAGCCACGCAGGCAGCACGAGCAGCAGTGGCTCTCGCTGGCCCCTCTGGCTGTGAAGGGCGAGGTTAAAAGCAAAGAGCTGAAGAATTACGCAAGTTTCAGTGCAAGAGGAAGGGAGAAGTCTGCTGTCCCCAGAGGACCTTTCCTCAGCACAGCCAAACCACCGCACATGCTGCTTTAGGCCACCGAGCAACTGGTCTTGGTAACCACCCCTGGACTTGAAGCCCAATAAAAAAGGGAAAGGGCGAGAGATTTGTCTTCACCCTCATGGATAGTACCTGATGGGGCCAAAATTGTCACAAGCCACTTGTTGTACTGGCCTCGTGGCCAGTGGACAGTTTGGGCCATGTGCACTCCCTGCTAATACCCTTAGGGCGAACACTGGAAATCAAGTATTATCACACACGAGAATGCTATTCCGTTAGCTTTGGTAAATTGAACAGATAGCGAGAGCACCACAAACGGCTCTTTCACATGTTGCATTTTAGTGCTATGAAATACTGTATGTCCTGCTATAATATCCTCAGTTACATGTCACTCTAAACAATTATTGCTGCTGGAGAGAAGAGCTTTAAACTAAACCCAGCACATCAACCCTCAAGGCATTTCCTTCATGCTTCTATGCAGCCATCCTCACCCGGTTAGATAAATAGATTTCCTTGAAGGTGAGATTTCAGAAAAACAGACACAAAAGTGCATCGTGGCTTACTAACGCTTTTGTGATCTCGCATTTCTCCAGAAAGACTTTATTTGCTGCTTTTGCCCTTACACTCATTAGTACCACCGCCTGTGGCTTAGCACTGTTTGCATTACAAACCTCCTTGTCCAAAGCTAAAGCTGATGTGTGCGTTGCTGGGAAACAAAACCTGAGGCTGCGGATCAGAAGCTCAAACAGGGGATGTTAGCAGCTCTGAGAGTTTAAACGTGTTCCATGGAGCAAAGGTGCCCCCACACTGACAGGCACTCAAGGATTCCACCTCCTTTGCTTGAGTTTTACTCCCTTGAAAGTGCTCGGCTTTGAACACTCACCCAAGCAGACGGCAATTCCACACTCGGGGGCGGGAGGGGGGGGAACCTAAGGTGTAAAAAAGGTTACTTTGTTCTTTTCCTCTTGGCCTTTTTTGCAAGCATGCGATAAAGCAGAACATTGACGGGCTGACACCCCATGCAAAACAAGGCAAATTAGTAAGACGGGAGCAACGAAGCAGACTCTCCCTTACAATCGAAAGGAGCCTTGAAACAGATGGGCTGAAGAAGTCTGTGGTTTTGCCAGTGCAGCGCCTTTCCCCATAACGTATCCAGAGACGCTTCCGTAACTCCAGCGAGCAAAACTGCTTTGACAAAGCTCTGGGTCTCCAAAGCATTCCTTGGCGCAGCAGGCATGGCTCGGGGTGCGACAAGTTTGTGAAAAACTGAATACTCGCAGAAGCAGAAGGGTCCAAAAAACCCCCTTTTTGCCCCCATTGTGGTCTCAGGGGCTTCACCTCAAGAAAGGTATGTGCGCTATCCACGGAAAAGCATCGCAGTCAAGTCTGCCGCAGCAGGTTCCATGTTACCCAAAGACTATCAGTAGGACCACAGAAAGATCTTCTGCAAATTAAAAAAAAAAAAAAAAAAAAAAGAAAAAAAAAAGAAGACACATGTGCTTGTGGGGAAGTTTAGTTGTGCTAGGTAATCCATGTCGAAGATTTATTTTTTTAAGTAAAAATAAGGATGTCTATTCATTTTTTCCATTTCAACTGCTGACGCACAGACCTGAATAATCACCTTTAAGAAGGCAAGAAATACACCACACTTTTCTGTATGTCCAAAGTTTGTTATCAAGCAAACAAATTAATCCTGCTTGCTTAACTAGCTATGGCTGTATCTTATGGCAACACTTCACCTGTTTTTTCCCTTTAAAAACATTAAATGCACGTGAAATTATTTGGGGGTGTTTTCACATGCAAAGCTTAAACTCATGCCAGCCCTGTCATCTTACTCCTTTAGTAGCAACTTAGTGTTAATTAAACTACAACATATCTAAAACATAAGAAGGACGTTACTCTATAAAAAGCAGATTAAACCAGTCATTAAATCTTAGTGTCTATTGTGAGTGTATGAGCAGAGAGGAATGAGTTTCAGCCTACTGGCAAATACCAAAACCACATCTGTACTTAGTCTCATGTCCACAGCCTCAGACCTTTGCTGTTGCGACCCACGTGTATTTCAGTGCACATCAACCAGCCAAACCCTTTGGCAGAACTAGTTAACTGTGCAGCTGCCAGTCTACCAGAGCTGCATTTCTGAAGAAGAAGAAACGCTATTTCCATGAAGGCAGGAGAGCGAATCCTGCATGAAAGCTGCACTCAGCTGTTCACTGACTGTGAAACACACAAGACTTGAAAACTAATACTGAGATTGTGGGTCTTCTGCTTGCAGAAAGATTGAGTGCTACAACATGCTGTACTCCACTTTTGGTGCTGCATTTTAGTGAGGGATGGAAATCTTATCACTCCTCGTTTTGTGGGAAATGCGCTCAAGTAACAGCTACATGGCGTTTTACACTCAGCCTCCAATTCCTTCCTTCCCAACCCAAGTAAACTGGAGTTGTGGCTAGTAAGTGAAAACAAGACTTCCACGTTTTCAGTTGAATTAAGTTCCAATATAATAATCCTCTGGGATTTTGAGCTTACTTCAAATTATATGCCAATAACTATTTAGCCTGAAAGCTCTTGCCAAGTTTTTATGTCATAGTAAAGTGTACATATATAAAATCTACAGTTATTGTCTTCATTTAGTTTGTTCAATTTTTACATTATCACTCAACTGTATGCTCATTTATGGGTTGATCCAGGTATACAAGTTCTGATCATGTTCTATTTCTTATTTGCAATTCTTCGTTTCCTTGTTGCCAGCATATCATAAAAGGGATCCCTGCTGATACTTGCTCTAGAAGAGAAAAAAGGAATCATCAGTTTGGTTAACAAATATCTGTTTTTGAAAACTAGAACTATTTTGTTCTCTCTTTGCTGTGGATGACTCCATACTCTTAATTAGATAATGGATGGTTGACTTCTAAGCATCACCAGTGTTTCTCTAGGAAAAGATGTGGTTCAGCTGTGATTTGTTAGGAGTTCATACCTTCATCTTGACCACCATTTCTTTTTTTAACTGTGGGTCTGCTTTATAAACCTTCCAAGATGAAGTCAAGCTGTGGAACTTTAAAGCCACCCTGCCGACATGCTTAAGATAGATGTCACTCAAGGTAATTATCAGATGAAGTAGGAATCTAGTAAAATCAGGGTTAAAGATGATTCACACAAGGCTTTACATTTGCTTAAAAAAAAAAAAAAACCCCAAAACCACCCCCAAACATCCACATTCTCCTCCCTTGAGTTAGTAGCACTGTTTCCTTAGGGCCAGAGGCTAAAAGGAGACTTGTCTCTTGGTCTGTCAAGCCCACGTGGCTTGTCATTAATCCTAGAGGACGTCGCTGCATCAGAATTCTTCAGGCGACTTACAGACCAAATTCCCTCAGTATCTTGCTCCAGAAGGAGCCCACGCTTCGTTTGTGAAAGACATTTAAGACCTTAAACTCACTTGATAGATTTAATCCACTCTTCCTTCTCTTCTGGGGTGGGAGCAGATATTCTATACACAACATGGTTGCCTTCCACCACTCTGCCATCAGCTTCAGTTTTACACGCTTTAATGACTTGACCTTTATGACTGGGGTTATAGAGCTCAAAGCAGTTCTGGAGGGTAGAAATGAAGAAATAAATTTAAAACCAAACAAAACCTACAAACGTTTCCATTTAACACTACATTGAAGTTATGCACTGTTTACGCCTCTTCATTTAAAAAAAATATTATGAAAATATCTTACTGGTTTTCTAGGGTCTTCAACTTCTCTTATGCTAAGATTTTCTAATGGAATAATTCCTCTAGGTTCTTTGTCCTAAAAAAATTAGGAAAATATCACATTATTAACCACTTAAATATCTTGATTACAAACCAAGTTCACTGTAATATATACTCACTGTTGTGTATTCAAAGTAATACAGGCAATTATCAGTCAGAATAAACCATCTCCGTTTCCACGTTTTTACTCTTCCCCCTGCAATCAAAAGGTATGGCTGAATTAAACAGATGTTGCTGTCAACGCTTCAACAATGGGTAAGGAAGTAATTTAGTTTTGCTTGTTTTTCAAAATATGGCTTGATTACTTAATTGTAAATGGATCAGGCACAGATGAGCTGAGGTTAAATAAACACGTTACTGTAACCTTGTACTAAGATCAAACTCCTGAGACAGCATTAACTATGGTGCTGCTGACCAGCCACAAAACTTGCATGCTCTGAAGTTGCAAATGTCTCCTCTCTTACAGAGAATGAATGCAATAGTTCAAGAGTCAGACCTGCTCCCTCTGTCCATGCCATCACAGCTGCTTACCACATCAAAATATTAATACTATACAGCCCTCAGAAATGCAGTCAGTGCTGTTATGGCAAAGGGAGGCCAATCACCAGCAAAACCAGTATCTGGGTTCCAGCAGCAGGGACAAACCTCTCCATAGCCTGTCTTGTAGAAGGAAAGGATCCCATCAATAAAATTAAGGGCATTTAATCACCTTCCTTTCACTCCACTCATGAGCATACATGTGATTAAGAACCTATTTCTAATTTCAGATTTAACATCAAGTGCGTAAGACGCTTACAGACATTATTAGCATAACAAATATGATGTGTCATCAATAAGGAGCAAATCCTATGCCAAAATGTACCATTTTTAGTTACTTTTCATCATTTAGTACTTTAAAAACATGTTCTCTTTATGGGTCAATATATCATTGAGTACACCTGATAGAAGAAATAGCTACTGCTCCAAAAGGGTCAAATTTTTCCTGGATTAACAGTTTGGACAACAGCAACCACAGTGCTCCTCTTTCCTATACCTGCTGATCTCACAGTGTAGGAAACAGTTCACTTTAGAAACACACATTATTGTCTTGGCCCTTTCAGCTGGTTTTCTGCCATCAGCTACTTCAGAACATGTCTAGCATTCCACAATTACATTATTTTTAAAACATATTTCTAGGAAAAACTATTGTAGATAAAGTATCTATGTGTTATTAATATACAAGCTTAGTTTCACCATAGTTATCTGACTTCAGGATTACGTCACCACCTGTGCATCATCCATTCAGCAGTGATTTAATGTCCTTAACCCAACATTTCAAAATAGTTGATCTTGATACTGAACACGCGTGCATAAAAAAGTACCATTAATACACACAAGACCCCTAATTTAATGCAAGTCATGTAACTAAATCTAAGACAGAAGCATAATTTTTAAACCTTTTTGTTCTACTTGAGATAGCTAGGTTTTGTTTAATACAGAAATCCAACTCATATTAAATTAAAGAACAATTCTAGGAATATAATGAAATTTCTTGATAACAGCCTACTGCGTGTTTGCATTGCAGACCGAGTATATTGCATGTCGTATCTTCCTTTTGCTCGGTTTCATGACCTACGCGATAACCCAGTGCTAACATACTGCAATGTTCAATGTACTCAACAAACTTTATGTTTCCACTACACACACACACACACACACACATCTTAAGAAAAATTTAATCTGCAAGCAGGTGCGGTGAAATAAGAGAAGGCAAAATAGTGCAAGATGCAGAAGCCGTGACTGAATGAATGGTTGAGTGAACTGGAGACAGCAAGGGAAGAACTGGTGGCATTTTAGTACAACCACTGTGACAGGTCCTTAAATAAATCATTGTAGAAACATTCAAACTGGCACGTAAGTCGCTACAAAAATTCCCATCACCTTGGCTGAGAGCCCGCTCAGGTATCAGGAAATATTTGGGTTAGGAATGGAAAGCCGATGAACTTTAGCTTGACTCACTTCCAGATCAACAAATAAGCAGCAGCTGACTCAAGACGACTGCCAGGGCAGTCCTTCCTATCGCCATAACATGATATTTTTTCATATAACCCAGTGTTCACTGCCATGACTTTAAATCATGTTCTGCTCACTAAGGTTAATACGTTAACATCATTTAACATTTTTACAGCACAAAAACGTCACCATGTTTTCCAGGCTAACAGGTAACATCAGCTAGCATCAAATGTCATGGCTTCCCCAGTTCTAGTAGAAAACCAATTCAGCAGCAGAGGATGAAACAGGCAAATAGGTTACTATCACAGAGGCAGCTTAAACTGAACAAAGGTGTTTCTCATAAACAGTGATATCTTGTCAAAATACAATAAAAAAAGATCAGGTAATAACCGTATATTTAAAAGAAGGACTGCTTATAATTTAAGGCAGAAACAATAGACTTAAAACACACACCCCCTAGAACAATATGAAGTGCCAAGCAGTAAATGACAGTTGAGTTTGCTGAAATTTTTCCTGACAACATTCCCTCTCTTTGGAAAAGCCAGATTTCTCAAACCTGAAACCTTTTGTAATCATGCTGCAGTTTTGATGAAGCTTTTGTCATGAAACATTTCCTAGCTCCAGGACAGTATTGATGTTGAAGCCAGAAAGAAGATCAAATATTTCCAACAACACCCCTCTTACTGCTACCTTCTCCATAAAACAGCCAGTAACTCACTGGGTTACAGCACTCACGTGAGTCGTGCAAACACCCCAAGTCCCTGCTCCACCAAGCTATGAGTTGCTCTTCTCTTCCAGAAAAACAAAAGCAGCAAGGCAGGATTTTTTGGTGGGATAAGGAACTATTGTCACAAATAAGTCTGTCTCCCCACCCCATTACTTAGCTGCAGCTGTCAACAGAACTCTAATAAAGCTTGAAAGGCAATCTGATTTGTACTCACCGAGTTCACAGGGGCCACCATATAACATATATTTAATATGCCTTTACAAAGGGCTAAAACCCAAGCAGCTGGTTGGTAAGGCTTTGCAGCCCGTAAGCACTGCATGCAAGACTAATGGGTAAGAACTTACGATAACAAAACATTCTTTTCCTTGGCAGAGACTGCTGTAGGCTCACAGAACAACAAGCAAGTGTTTAGTATCATACTTTGTATCTTATTCTGTCTCCCAGCCTTTTAGAGATTAAAACTGGAGGGATTTAAGTTAGCAGAAGAGGTTCAAGAAAATCTGAGTATGAATCCATACACATTTACAGAAATGGAGAGAAGTGATGTACTACTGAAAGATCTAGCTCATTAAAATGCAGAGACATCTCAAACAACAAAATAAAGCAGCACAATATCTTGTAGGTGGAAATCTAAGGAAACAACAAGAAAAGGCTACAACAAGGTAAAATGTACAGGAAGAGGAATAGGAACCCTCTTCACCTACGTAACCCAACATGGGATTTTTTTTTTTCCAACTCCGGACAAAGTACAAACTAGAGAACAAGGTAAAAGAAACCACCTATACTAAAGGGAAAAAGAACTGGCAGTGCCTTAGGAAGCACCAATTTCAAAATTAAAAAAGGCGTTAAGACTAAAGGCACCAATGTATCTGAAGTTAGAAAATTCTACCCAAATCTTCAGCACATTTATATAAAGTTTGAGAGGGGAGAGAGATGCACAGATCAAGAATGCTTTTTATTTTCAGTTCATTTAGATACCACTAGGTGGAACAGACTGAGGAACTGTACAGTTACACAGATGACTGGATCAAAGTTCGGGTTTCTTTGAAAAAGAAATTTCCCTTGACTCCAACATTAATTGCCTCAACCTAGAAAAGCATCAGTTACCACGAAGGCCAGGCAGGTACCAGAAAGCACCATTTTCCTCATCAACCACCGCTATTCTCTCACCCCAGATTAGGGGAGAGAAATGACATCCTCTCAGGGACAGATGCACTGGAATAAGCACCACTGGCAGGATGGGCCCAGATGCAAAGCTTCTGGACAATCTCCAAGCTCTCAGTAACTGCCTGACTGGCAGAAAAAATTAACACGATCATGTGCCTAGCTTGAATCATTTCCTCTCCAGCTTGGTGAAAAGAATGTAACAGTTTCCTTCTAACTAGAAGAAAATATTACGCAAACCAAGCTATTTGCCAAGAGAAGCTGTTTTAGGCAAAGAAATGCGCCTCTCTGCAAAGTGACTGTAACTTGAGCACTAGGAAAGAGAGCACCATGTCAAAATAACTTAAAGTGGATGGCAGAAAATTTCATCGTACCAACACCACTAATAATTATGACACAGAAAAATCTAAAAGCTCATAACGTCTCAAGTTGCTCTAAGCAAGGATTCATTGGCACTCAGCAGCTTTCATTTTTTTACTCGTAGCATTCATTTTCATTATACCATGCTTCAAACAATGCAGAACTGAATGATAATTTAGGTTTACCAAGATAAAGTTGTCTATATAAAGCCACCAGCTGAATATAGATAGATAAAACCAAAATTGCTGTCTGGCTGCCAAGTTTGGCACTCGGACTTACACAAAGTCACCTCTGAACAATTCAGAGCAGCAAACTCTCCACAAGCATTTTGCACCCTCCCAGCTTTCCAAAACCCAGTGCCAGGCTAGAGATGAAGGGTGGTCTTTAGGACAGATGAATTTTACAATATATGAAAGTTTCACGATATCCATCTCCTGCCCAGAAGATAATGAATGAAGTGAGCTGGAATACTAAAAAGAGGGGCACGGGTTATAAATGGGAAGAGCTGACTATAAGAGACACCAAATACAAAATACTGTCTTAATATACTCAGGGTTTGTGAGACGTCTTAGTCATATTTATAGTTTTATATAAAACTTCCTATTTCAACTTTCACGTATTATCACAACTGAGCACTTAAACTCTTATGCAGGAATAGAGTCTCCTTAGCATTTCAACAATGCTGAAACTTTTAATATCAGCATCTTCCAGAACTGAAGGAAACCCTACCCGTTTCACAAGTGTTTCCCAACAGAAAGGGCTGTAAAAATGCAAACACTGTGGATCAAGACAGCACTCTTAACACAGAGTTTAAGCCTCCTAGCAAATAGGAAACTCAAGGAAGAGGAAAGAAAGAAAAGAAAAAAAAAGAAATAGCTGGGTTTACTTCCGGTCAATGCATCTAAACTAGCAAAATGTATTTGTCTGTACCAGTCCGTGTCTGCTGAAAAAAAACAGTCTTTCACAGAAGCACAACTTCATACATTTACAGACTGATTCACCGGAGGCTTCTGGACATGTTTAATTTCTTTCTTGAAATAACCATCACACCATGGGAGTGTTACGTGCAACACCCTTCCGTTTCACACATGCTTTTGCTATTGGTTTTCTGTGTGCTGTCTCTCATCTACATCGTACGTAATAAAACGTTGGTTTTATTGACCTTGTGCCAGAGCCAGAAATGGACTGTGCAGAAGTACCTGGCAGCTCTCAAGGACTTTCAGACACCTTTCTTCTTCAATTTCTTTGTTCCTCTGTTTTTTATTAGATCTCTTATATGTCTTTTATTGACAGTTTCGTCCACAAGGGATGTTGTCACTCCTCTACACACACTCACACCCTTGCTTACACTCTCAGTACCTGTATACAAGAACGCACTGGCAACAGAAAGAGAAACACACAGAACATAGGCTTACACCCAACCTCTTCTCCAGAAAGCACCTTTTATCTACATCATTTTGAAAGCCTTTGCTGTTGAGATAGCAAAATGGAGAAAAGCTGCAAAATCATCTTTGAAATTGTGCCAGCTGAGCCAATGCACGTCAAAAACCAAGAGCTTTGCTTTTTTGTAGTCAGAAGGACAAAGAGCTCTATAGCATCTGTAGCGCAGAGGTCGAAGTAAGACATTGGAGAGCACGTGAATGAATTCCAAATGCAGCCTTTTTACACCTATTTCCTTCCAGCACTAGCATGACTACTAATTTTCAGGTGCAATCAGTAGAGTGGGCCCATGGCTCTAACCAGGCTCTACTTTCACCATACTCACCCCCATGTGCACCCCCCAGCACACATCCCTTTTCGCACTTTAGTCATCATTCTCCAAGTGCAAAGTTCCTTCAACTTTAACAAGCAGTTATAGATTAAAGTGGCCAACAACTGGCTCTATGGGAGCGTGTACTAGTGTTTAACATAGAAAGGGTTTAGTTCACTGAAAAACAAATGTTAAAATTAAATTTCTTTATATAGGAAAAAAATTCCCTAAGCCCTAGTGAAAAAGTGAATCACATCAACCTTAAAAGTTTCTGTAAACACAGGCATCTTGCAGTGCCAGGAGACTGCAAATTACCAGAGGTTTCTGCATCCCTCAATTTGGTGCTCATTTAAGATTCTGGTAAGTAAGCTAAATACATTATTTACAAAGGAAAATAAGCAGGAAAAAGAACAGTTTTTATAAATGCATAATTCAAATGTAATATTATCTTTCAATAATCTAAGATAATTGATACACAAGTAACAAAATCACTCTAGAACTTCATTACAAGAGAAAGACATGTTGTTTTCTCTCAGTAGAAATTATTCTTCCCTTGTTATGTTCTTCAATGAACGAGAAAAGTACACTGAATAGTCATCTTTATTTTTCTGCTTTACATGTAACACTTTCTTCTTTTGCAGAATACACTTGCATGTGAGCTAGACACTGACATGCCAGTCTTTCAGAGTACCACTGATGATACTGTTAGTGACACTGAGTGAAAAAGCAAAATGCTACAATAAATCTGATTAAAAGAAAAAAAAAAAAAAGAAAAGAAAAAACAAAACAGGAGGAAGGAGGAAGAAAATAAAAGAATGAGCAACTGAAGAAGAGGGGACTGGAAAGCAATCAGATACGTACCTCCTAATGCAGAATAAGCAGAGACAGCCAGTCACAGAACAGAAAGGTGATAGGTCATAGGCCATAAGGAAAACAAGAAGGCACATTTAAACCACTCATTTAAAAATTATAGCCAAAACCAAACCAAGAGAAACTCACAAATAATATGGAAAAATAAAGACATACAAAAATAACTATCTGAAGAGAAATCCTTTTTTTTTGGTATACAGAAAACTGAGTTGAAATATCACACAGTTTTCCGAAATGACCTTATGGAGACTTAGTTGTTATTTACCAGTCACAGCATGTGGTAAATACCATATGGCATTTCCTTTTTGTTGACGAGTTTTTACTTCTCATGTATCAGAAATAAAACTCCAAAGTTTGAAACAAGAGTGCTCAATTTGGATATGTAAAATAGGAAGTAACAACTTTCGGATGTAAAGGAGTTACTTATTTTTGGTTCATACATTTTAAAATACAAATTACAAAATTAATCCTATTACCTTCACAAGAAAGCAGACACGGAAGCCGCAAACATGTTAACAATGAACAAACATATAGCAGCAAAACTGCCCTTATAACTAACCTAATTTCAGCAGCCAACCTTCTCTATCTGGATTAAAAAATGTATGCGTTAGATCATTTCCATCATCCTCTGGAATTTTAAATGGCTCATTCTTAATACTTTCATATAAATTCTAGAAGAATAAAAAAAGAGGAAAAAGACCTCATTAATAAATGTCTAACACAACATGCAACCAGGACATCTTACTGCTTCTCAGATTGTTTGTATAAAAAGCATAGGAAATACTGTCCATAAAATTATGGCACATCCCTTCTCAATCTTTGTTTACTACTTTGATTAAGTTTGATTTTAAACTACTTCATCTATAAATGTCTTTTTTTACAGATCTTATAAACACTCCTAGCAAAGACATTTCTTCTCTAACTTCAGCATCCAGCATTTCAAAGGTTTCAGCTTTAGGTCTCATTTAGTACAAGTTTTGCCAAATGAATCTGGGTTTTCAGAAAATGGTTTAGACCACCACACTGTCTCAGAGAAATAAGTATTTTTACTGATATCTCAAGGGACAGGAGGAAGCTCCACAAGACACATGGAAAGAAATGAGAGGCAACAGTGGAACAATGATTTTTACTATTTTTTCCAGCTTTCTCTGACTTAGCCAGAAATACTACTTTTTTTTTTTTTTTTTTCCCCATGAGAAGCCAATTCCACAAGAGTTTCACCATCAGCAAACTACGGAGAGATATACAGAGTATTTTCTCTGGAATCTCCTCTCCTCAACAAAAGACTGAATATAGCGAGAACTAGCTCAAAGCAGCTGTGAATATCAGAAAATGCTTCTTTCAGCTACTCAAATGGTTACGCATGACAGAAAATGTTCTTTCTTTCCCTCGACAAATTTGTCTGAGAAGTTGTACATGCTTCTAAGTTTACTATTAAAACCACAAAGCAATGCCTTGTCTTACCCAGTCTAACTTACCCGTAGTAGTTCTTCTGGAAGATCTCCACCTTCATTAATTCCACGATTCATGGAAATAAACCTCTCTACTGTTGGTTTATCTCTTACATTGTGGTTGTGTAGACTGGTATTTAACATAATGATTGCAAATGAAAGCACATAGCATGTATCTGAAATCAGATTTGAAAAATTAAATCTTTCTATGTGTTGTGGCACAAATCTGTAAAATGAATATATAGCTCATCCTGACTGATAAAGAAACAGGTAGTCAAAAAATCCTGAACACCACTATACACAAAAGCAGACTCAAATCTGTCTTTAAAATGTTGAAACAAGCCTAAGAAGAAAAAATATGTAGCAATTCAAATTAAAAGCCAGTATGAGAAAAACATTACAAGAGAATCCAAAACAATTTTTTACTCTTTGAAATCATTCCTGTCACCCTAAGTTAACATTTCACTTGAAACACTGAAGCATTGTTGGGCAAAACAGTCTCTGCACACAGATTTTGCCTAGACTGTATTGGTAGATCCTATAATACACTTGGTCAGTCAGAATCCTACTCAAAGTACTTTCAAAGGTTTCTCCAAAGAGAAAGAACAGCCTCTTCAAAATAATATTTGAACTGTATTTGAAGAGGCTGAATATGACATTGACTCAATTTCTTGGCATACACAAGGTGGATACTACCACTGAATAATGTCAAAAGATGACAAAGGAGATCTTATCATGCCTCTGGACGTGGTTATGATATAGTAAATTCTCCCAGAATTCAAGTACAAGATCCTGTGTAAGAAAAAGCAGGACGGAAACCTCTCTGCTGCATAGAGGAAAAATGTGTTTGCATCTTCATCATTTTGTTTTCAGTAAGTATTCTCCCCTCTAGCTGTTGCAGACCCGCTTTATGTTAACCTTTTCCTAGCCTATTTGTTCCTCAAACTAAGTGATCAACAGCAAGCTATGTGTGTATATAACTAAACAGGCCAATGATGCCAGAATGCAAAGGCATTCTGTGCAGCATCACAAAGTTTTGTTAGCTTTTATGATTTGAGTAATTCTAAACCAAGTAATTCAATGGAAAACTAAGGTGCCTTTCTAACTGAGATAAATTATTGCTAAACAGACTGCTAAAGAGAAAGGATACAGTCTTCATAACAAAAAAAGATGACTTTCTAGATAATATACTATAGCCACATATAGGTGGACTTGATACAGAGAAATTAAGGTGTAAAGTCCTTATAACTGACAGACAAGACTACCCAACCTATTGCTCTTCTGTCTTTAAGCCCCTGAGAATCTTACTTTTCCAATTCCTAGCCAAAATCTTTGCTGACATTTCTAAAGTGTGTTTTATACTTTAATTGGCTTAGATACATATTAATTCCTAAGTTTTATAAATGGAAATGCATTCTGACCATAAGTTTGTACCTCCTGGAAAAAGTGTAGGATTAGACAGTTCCATTTTCTCAGTTCTCAGAAGTTTATTACTTCATGTATTATTTTATCCTAAACTTCCAAAATGGCCACCATCTCCTTGCATCAGATGTAGAACACCACATATGATCAAAAAAATATATATATATACTTAAGAACTCCAGTTGTTTCCTGTGACTAACCTGTAGACTGGAAGACTCCTGGGTTACAAAGACAATAGCGTGAAGCAAAAGCTTCCATCATACGATCAATTTTTTGAGCCTCTCCTGGGAGTCTGAAGCTCCACAGAAACTGCCTACAAAAGAGAAGAATAGTTGTTAGACTCATTCCAATATTTATATATTAAGCATATATTACTAATAATCAGAAAGAAACCAACCAACCAAACAAAACCAGCAATGTCTATATAAAATGTCCTAGAAATATGTTCTCAATCTCTCAACACACAAGTCAGGAGCTATCATAAAGCAACATGCACAGATGGCTAGCCCAGTAATTCAGCCAGCAACACTGCATGCTATCAGGCAAGATAATATGGCAGTTCATATTCTGAGACTTTCTCTTTTTTCCGGCCTAGTAAAGAATTTTCTGTATGCATCCCATTTTTGCCATGAGAATGCTATGGGGAAACAATCAGTTCAATCCTCCCTGGGTTTCCTGGCTACTAAAAGCAATAAACAGCTAAACTTTACTTACAATGTAAAAAGAAACATTATCTAAAGTATTTCTGGTAGGGGAGAGAAGCAAGGAATACAAAACCACTTAACATCTTTACTTGAACTCATCAAAAACATTTTAAAAATAGTAACAACAAGAAGAAAAACTCCAGTGGTTAGAGAGGTGCTGCCTGTCTAGTGTAAGTTCACCCTACAAGAATCAGACCTAGATCTTGAAAAGAAAGACTCATTATATCATCTCAGAAATTTTGTAATATATGCAGGAGATCTGTGCTCCTGTTTAGCAGCATGAACTGGAACACAGTTTTTACTTTCATAACTTACTGTTTCTACATATAGGTACCCTGGAATGCATACAGGACAGAAGTCTTCACAAATTTACTTTTGGCACATTGTGGCACTAAAAAGCTCCAATGAATTTCACCACTTACTCTTTTCTTTCTTAGCAAAAGAATGATCTGAATTAAAACAGGATCTAAACCAGCAAAGTGACATGCTCTGCCATGCAAAACAAGTTCTCTATATTCCCTGTACACTGGGTGCCATATAATAACCATTTATTCCTCAGTCTTCATGAGTTTTCATTTTAAGACATATATTAAAGTCTCACAGGCCATCTTTAGTTTGTCAGCTCTATATACTGTCTTTTACTCACCTCGTGCAAGGTTCCAAACCAGATCACGAATTTTGTAAGCTACCAAAATACAAACATTTAATAGTAGCAGCTGCTAAGGAAGAATAAAGTCAAACCTAATGATAAATGGGGTAAATGAGACAGGAATATGAAGCCTCCCAGACGAGCTTCAGCAGCCAGAGAAAAGGCTTCCTTAGCTCAAACCTCAGGCAGCTCAAGTTATCATCCCCACATCACTCAACCATAGCAAAGCTGTTCTGACTCCATATCACAAGGCACTGCCCCAGACACAAAGATCACACGGACTTTTCAATTTATCTGGTGTCAGAAGGGAGTCACTTGTGGCAAAGAAACTAGCAGAACTGTCTAAATCAACTTAATTTGCTAGATCTATTTTGGATTTCCACCAAGACAAGAAGGGACTTCACAAGGTCACTGTATGCTGGCATCCCAGAGAAATCAAGTAAACTGTTCACTCAGCAAGGGAAAAAAAGCATACTAAGATATTATACTTCTTTCACATGACAAGTGGGAAACTCTGTAGAAAGCAGTAGGAAATGACTTGATTCAAAGTTACCTCTTTGTAATTGAACATAACCACTGATTACAGTCAGGAGGATTCCCCCCCTCCCCACCCAGAGGAGTAAGTTGAGGTGGAAGGAAACAAGAAAGAAGATGGCAGCAAAGAATATTATTTATTTGCTTGGGTTATAGGTTTGTTTGGTTTTTACCTATCTCTGTGCTAAGATATAAAACAGGCACAGCAAAGAGTTACGGCCTTCAAAGGCAGCACACACACAGCAATTGGAAGGGTTAACACAGAGCTGTCTGCTAACTTGCACAGTAATGCGTATAATTGTGCTGAGCTGTGGATCAGCTTTCTGACAAATAAATCAACACAGTGACTCATATGAACGTGCAATTTGATAGAGGAAGCTCAGGCCAAAAAAGAAAGAATTTACTCACCTTAAGGCTTGTACAAGATTGAGATCAGCGAACTCATGGAGTTCAACAAAAGCCTGAAGAACTTTAATGTTAAATTCATCTCTATGAAAGACAAAAATGGAAATAGGTAATTACAATTCTGAAATTTAAAGACTTGTTAGTTATCTCTATTTGCTTCCAAGAATAAGCAAGGAAATAAAGAATCATACTGATCAAAACAAGTAATCGGAAATAGTTTACACATTTATTCGAGAGGTATTTTGCCCATTTTTGCTAGTAGGTTAGCAAGAGTCAGTACAATTGAACTGATTTTAGCACTGATTACTTAAATGACCCAAAAATGGCCTGGACTTCTTTGCTTCACATTTATTATTACTGCACCTGCCTTGATATGGCATGATACCTAATAAATTTATTCAGTAAAAAGTCTTTTGCAGAAATTGCGTCATGAACCCTTAAAATAAAGGTTAATGTAAGATTAATTTCTTCAGCCATGCAACACATGAAAAACAAACTATCCTGGTTTTTCCTCTAAGAACAGAAAATATTAGAACAGTATATAAATTTATATACAAAGAAGGGGAATAGAAATGCTTCAACTGATTGTACTTAAGAACAGCTTTTTAAAAGAGCTACTTAGTATGTACTACATTCTTACTCCACTCTCAAAAATCATTACAATGAAAGTTTACTAAAATCAGAATAGGTTTTGAACAGGCTTCCTCTCCCATATCTTTTACATTGCCATGTAAATCATGAGCCAAATTATGCATTGTTTGATACAAAGGTGTTTAAATGCAAAAGTAACATTTAAACATTAATGAACACAAAACTCTTTGGATGTAGACACAATTTAGTCTATACCGTCACTGAGTTCACATGCCAGAAGCGTGAAGTTTATAATCCTCAGTGTACTTTAAATACATCACCAACACAGAATGTTGCATATCAGCCTCCACTGAAAATAGAAAGGTGTGCATCCATCAAGAATTACCTGTTGCATTACTGACTAACTGCATAGTCAGACTAACCTACTACACTCAATAGTAAATATCTTAAAATGAACTATTCATCCATTAGGATGTCCCCATATTTTTTAGAGAAAACCACATCAGCTCTGTCAAGCAAAACAAAGCAATTCTCATCAAATTTAGTAATGCACAACTCTTCAATGCAGTGAAATGAAGTGGCATAATAGTACAATAAAAGAGAGCACTCAATTTGGTTACTTTGTTACTTTAAGCCAAATATTAATTTTGCTTATATGTATGTGAAGCTGCAGTAATTCAGAACAAATACTGGCCTCATACTCTATAATTTTTGCTCTCCTAGGTTTTAATGTAGACTGGATTAACAGTGATACTTGTGCTGGGTACAGCTCCAAAGACACAAGCCAAATATCAAGAAAGATCTAGGAAGCTACTTAGAAAAATAAGTGAAGACTTACCCACACAGAATCACAGAATGTCAGGGGTTGGAAGGAACCTCGAAAGATCATCTAGTCCAACCCCCCTGCCAGAGCAGGACCACCTAGAGTAGGTCACACAGGAACGTGTCCAGGCAGGGTTTGAATGTCTCCAGTGAAGGAGACTCCACAACCTCTCTGGGCAGCCTGTTCCAGTGCTCTGTCACCCTCACAGTAAGATAGTTTTTCCTTATGTTAATGTGGAACCTCCTGTGCTCCAGCTTGCCCCCGGTGCCCCTTGTCCTGTCACTGGCCATCACTGAGATGAGCCCGGCTCCATCCTCCTGACACTTGCCCTTTACGTATTTATAAACGTTAATGAGGTCACCCCTCAGTCTCCTCTTCTCCAAGCTAAAGATACGCAGCTCCCTCAGCCTTTCATCAGCTCCACCCCCTTACCCACATATAAAGAAATCTTAAATCTTTTATAGGATGTAATTAATCCCCTATTTATTGTATACCACTTTTTTCAGTTTGCTGAGTGCTGTAACACTACAAAAGTCAATAATTTAAAATATATCTCTTTATGGCAGAAAGTTACACAAATACTTCATTCTGTTGACTATCTGGGTCTCGTCTTCAGCTATGTTTAGCTAGAATGCAGAAGTAATTCATGATGGGCACCCAAGAGGGAATGGCAAAGTAAAAGAGAATGTCCTCAGACTCCAAATGTCTTGATAAAAGATACTACATAACTCAACAAAAACTCATCTATAATATGCACTGCCATTTGCATAGCACAAATCACATACAGCGCCAATAGCCTGTTTCTGAGGTAGTCACAAAAGCAAAACTAGCAGCTTAAGAGCACCTCCATTGTCACATTTTATTTTATCCTAGGATATTTATTTTACCCCAGGACCTAGAAGTCTAATACATTCTTTTCAGAGGAACATGATTAAAAATTATTAGGATTCTAGGAAATTAATGTTGCAGTTCAAAGGAGTATGATGAACCAATTCCCCATTCCAGACCCGATTACCTTGAAATTTCTATACACACTCCTGAAAATCAGATTGTCATCTCTTCACCTTCACCCCCCTTACTAACTCATGTAAGTGAAGAAAAAAAAAGACAGAAATACCATTTGCTTTCCCATTGCCATATTAATGTTACACTCTTCACAGAAATGAAGAAACACAGAAAAAACAATTAAAGTAGACTGACTGGATACATTGAATAAAACTCCTTTTAAAGCAAAAAAAAAAATTAAATTTCTTTTTTACTTTAACTGCTGCTTAAAATAGATAGGCTGCTTCTGCCTTGTGGCAAAATAGGAGCAGTATGTTAATTTTTTTCACTTCTCCTAAAATTTTTTTATCCAGTTGATAGACTTACACAAAATTTCATTCAAATTTGCTATTGAGTATGACCACTATATTTGTCTGTATTTAAGTCCTGAAAAATTCAGAAGATGTAACTGAATTGTGTATTTTTCTGAATACATACTCAATATTAAGAAAGGTTGCCCTTATTTTCAGATTAGACCACAGTGCTGCCCAGCAGCATCCCTGCCAGAGATGCAAAAGAACAAACAATAAATTTTTTAATTTTCAATGTGAACCCATAAATAGTTACACGAATATTATGGATGACTCCAGCAGGCCTGGACATACTGGTTAAGACCTTTCTGCATGAGTACAGGTATTCTGGGAATATGGCTAAAAAAAGGGGAAGTATTTCAGAAGACAATACCAAGGTAGAGAGCAGCTCTCAAACGCAAACACAGACTGCTTTATACAAGCTTTGTTACTGTTTTGCAATTATGGACATTAACTTAAGTGATTTTATAATACTGATTGCCCAAATATTCAAGAGAAACAACACAATGCTGTTGTATAATAATTGTTGAAATGTCTACATATACTGTACAGAAACTTCATAGCGAAGATCTGTGATTCTGTGATCTATTTTCAAAATATATGTATTACAGTAAACACTTCCATTAAACCTACTAAAGTCAGAAGGAAATTGCTGAGCACAAGCTAAGCTGCTGATGCTGTGAACAGATTATGGGTGCCTCAAAAGGGATCTGCCAGAACATATCACTGCAGGAGTATACCCTAAATGAGTCAACTTTTAAAACTCCGTAACTGGCATCTGAACCAGAACATGTGCAAGCATGTAGATACATGTACTCCAACCCACTGTTCACTTTTGTCTTTTTCTTCTGCCTTTTTCAAAATCAATTCCTGGGTTGCACAGCAATGGAAGTAATTTGCGTTTTGATTGTGTTTTGCAATAGTATGCATAAATACGGCTGTTGCATGTTTATTGTACTAGGATTGATAAAGATACGGTGCAGCTGCCCTTTGAGACACCTATTTACTAATGGGAAGTCTGTGTGCAGGGAAGAAGACAACACTAAAACCTGCTTACAACTATTGTCTCAGGAACTACCCATTTTAATAAGTAATTTCTTTACTATCCAATTATTAGTGATTGTAAATCACTCCTTGTCTGGGCACAGTACCAAGAACTGTTGCAATACAACTCTCAGACATTCCAAAAGCTTATAGTGTTAAATTCAGCACTATAGCCAAGTTTAAGGGTATTTTCTCAAAATAGTAAGTTACAATGAATTAAATATCATTCCACAATGTACCCATTTAAAAAGAAAACAACCTAACAGAAAAAAATCTATTACAATACTGTAGTAGTTTTACTTCCTGCTGTAGCTTTTCTAGTAGTAGAGTAGCTCTCATGCAACCTGTGAAGGGGAAGGTAAATACCAAAACCTTTAACTATGCTTTGTAAACTCAGGAACAAAGTTGCAATATTTTTATTTTACCTTTCACCGAGGTAATCTCCAATTACTGTTTTATTTAATCCTTCTCCTTTATAAAGGAACTGTGCAATGTCTTCTGCAGTGTTCTGCAGGAGGTCATTTTCTATCAGAAACTGTATTCCCTAGGAAGAGCAATTCCAGAAGAAAAGGCATGTTATGTTTTCTTCCACAAGCATTTATGCAAATACCGCTCATAACATTTGGTATTAATATACTGACACAGACATATACATAGCACATTAAGAAGTACATTAGCCTATAGATACTTTTTTTTAAATGAAATGGTAAACACATGTTTTTCAGTTAGATAAGCAATATTTAGTACTGGTTTAAAGATTAAAAAGAGAACACATTTTTAAGGCTAGAAGTACTAGGTGGCAGTTTGAATCCCTGAACAGTAGAAATATCAAATATTAATTGAATAATGATTCTATGTTGTTCTTTGGAGTTGATGTGTGAGTTGCCTGTTCACAATATTGAATAAAAATCTGCAGAGAAGTAATCTGTAAAATCATATAATGAAGAGGTACATAGGAACAACTTAACCACCACCATGATATAAAATGAAGCATCTGTTATAATCTACAAACTGCAACCCAATACATCAAGCCACTACTTGCAGTAGAAGTTGCGGCTGAACATACTGAAACCAGTTTGAAGTTTATGCTGACACTGGGATCATCAGTGACTTCTGGTTGTTCTAGAACTAAACTATTCACAAAGGACTTGAACTAGACTATTCACAAAGGACTGTTCATGAACCAGTCAAGCTTCTACTACGGAGCTTCTATCAAAGCCAGGAGAGTCTTACCCTGTCCCTCAGTGGGTACTTGATCAAGCCCCTGGACTCCCACGCCTCCATAAATTACTGGCCCTACAACTGGCACACTCTAGGGATGCCCAGAGAACTTTCTGCAAAGTGGTAAAGAAAGGAGACTAAGAGTTATATAAAGATTATGTAATGGCTGGAAGGGATGTTATTCCAACACTCAGCAGGTCATGAAGAGATAGTGCTCTTCTTCCCCACCACACACTCCAATGAAGATGTTGCTA